ATGCTTTCTGACTACAGCAGCTTAATCTCATGTCCTGAAGATTTAAACATCCCAGAAAGACCAACGGGGTTAGCTCGACGATGTAAAGCGACAAATTGTATTCGGTGATGATCTGTAGGCAAAATCCTGTTGTCCTCCGCAACAGAATTGTGAGAAGACTCTGGGATATCCCCAAGCGACCAGAATCTGCAAACTTATGGAAGCAGCAATGTTGCATTCGTCCGAGTAAGGGCGGGTGCAGCGGTTGACCGTATCCAATACGGCCGAAGTGCACTTCAAGTACAAGTGTCTGGTGTTGGATAGAGGAGACAGATGTGAAGGACCAATTGACCTTCTTGCAAAAAAAGCTGGAACGCCACAAGATAGGCCTCACTGCGCTCGGTAAGGCCAGGCTGGTTGATCAAGGGAGGCTACGATAGGCTAGCTCTGGTTACGTCCCACTTTGTAAAACAAAACTTAAAAGAGCCTATATGACTGTGTCGTCGGATTCGCAGCCACAAATCACATTAACCGCAGAACAATGGAGGAGCCGAACTTCACTGACTAGAGAATGATGGCCATCCTATTTCCACTGTCTGGGGCCAGGTTAGCCACCTTTTTCAGCATTTACACTCACGATTCTCATTTAGAAAACCAAAACTGCAAATTCCACGAGCACCTTTTGGACATGGTCGTACCTGCGCTTTGCTAACTTCCTATTCTTGTTAGGCGATTTCAACGACTGGGTTTTCAAAACGGGGAATCAGATACTGGATGCATTGGGGATATGGATCGACAAACGCCACTGGTGTACGTCCATCGTGGACGTCGACACAAGTGTATTTACTGAACTGACAAACCCATTGGTTTCCGCTCGATTCCGGGTTCTGGTAATCCAGAAGCCTCCAAGGCTATTTCTGTTGGGGCTGTTATTGTTAAATACCTCCGACCTGAAAGGTCTTTCTTTGAACGGTTGCGCGCGAATAGTCCACTGTTGGCAACGTCCAGGAGAGGTTACGTTAACGCACCGATAACCACTGCCTATTCATCATATCTGATTGCGCTCGAACAGACTGCCAACCTGGTAAACTCCAACACAGTTTCTGCAACGCTTTGGGTACCTTGTGGTGGCTGCCGGAGATATGAATGTGGGAATAGGTAGAATTAGCTCTGCTAACAGTTCGATAGTCTGATCGTCTTGCATTGGGATCGAGACTCACAGGCAACGGTGAGTGTCTGCTGCGGTTAAAGGCTGATCGTAGGCTGCAGTATTAACTTCTGGAACGACCGAAGTCGCTTGGCCACATGGTGTCTGCTGCATACGAGCCAACTTCCGACACACAGACCACGTCACCGTTGGTCATCGGTGGCATAGGTCAATCTCTGAGTGTCGAACCTTCTGGAACACCTAAGTGGATTTGGATCTCGCGCCTGTTCGTTGTTGCTACTCGCCTCACATTCGAGGGCTCGCAAAATGCGGGCACTTAGCCCGGTCATTGAAAAGCTCTCGGGCCCTGATTCAAAAGAGGCATACCAGAGCCGCCCACCGAAGTCCCTTTTCGACATCACTTCTTTTTATGTTGACTGTTGCTGGAATTCACTACGCTCAACCAATATGTGCTTAAAC